TCCGGCGCTGCTGCCTGCCCAGCGGTGCCCTGCTGCCGGCGCTGCGCCCCGCGAGCCCACCTGTGCTGCCAGGAGGCTGGAGCTGCTGACGCCCCTTGAGCCCCGCCGGGCACGCGCTGCTACCCCGCTCCGCGGTCGCTTCCACACGCTGCATGGGGCCATTGCTTGGGGGCGGGGGCCTTCTCTGCACAGGTCACACGGCTCAGTCCATCCTCGTCATCGCCTCCATCCTGCTTGGGACGCCGAGCGTGAGTCACGGGGCCCATGGGGCCGTGCCCTGCCTGGAGCGTGCGGGGCCGGGGCGGGGCAGGGCAGGGCCCACGGGGCGTGTGGGCAGCTGGTGCGGGGACGGGAACACCTGGCATCCTGGCACCAAAGTGGCAGCTGCTCCCGCGGCCCAGCGCGGGGCTGGGAGCTGCCTGGGCCTGAGGGGCCGGCGGTGACGGGCTTGTCCCCGCAGAGATGGACGAGGCGATGCGCTCCTTTGCCGAGAAGGTGTTTGCCTCGGAGGTGAAGGACGAGGAGACCCGGCACGAGATCTCGCCCTTCGACGTGGAGGAGATCTGCCCCATCTCGCACCACGAGATGCAGCAGCACCTGATCCAGCAGGAGAGCCAGGCCTCGCCCGAGAAGCAGTGAGTGCAGCGGGCGGTGGGTGGCTCGCAGCCCCAGGGCCTCCCCTGGGGAAGGGGCGGGGGTCTGAGCAGCCCCAGGGCCCGGAGGGGCTGTGCTCGTGCCCGCTGCCCCCGCCAGCACAGTCCGGCGGGGGGGCGCGCAGAGGGCAGTCCGGGCTCAGGTGCAGCCTCCCCCTCGCAGGAAGAAGCGGCTCCGCCTGAAGACCATCGCGCTGGTGATGCCTGTGGCCAAGAGGTCGTCCACCAAGCTGTCCACCATTGACGAGGTCACGTCCGCTTCGTCGCTCTACCTGGCCGTGCCGAACTTCCAGCGTGTCCAGACCACCTGCGACTATGCCTCAGGGGTGAGAGCGTCGGGCCTCGGGGCAGGGGCCTCCGCCACGGCCTCCCGCAGCCGGGGCCAGGCGGGCGGTGCCGGTCGGCGGGAGCCGTCTTCCCCCGCTCTGGCCGGCCCCGGTCTTCCCCCGCTCTGTCTGGCCCGTGCGTGGCTGTTCAGCCGTGCGGGGGACACTCGGCCGTGCGCCAGAGCTGCCTCTCCTGGCCTCAGCCCTGCCAGTCCCTGCAACTGCTTGTGCCCTCGCGGCCCTCCCCCAGCCCCAGCACTTGTGCCCGCATAAATCAGGCTGTCCCCGAGTGCTGGCTCAGGGCAGGGCACGGATGAAATCAAAGCAGGGCCTGCCTGTGCTCCAGAAATAGCCCCACGGGCAGGCCTGTCCCCGCTCCCCCTCCCGCTTCGCTGCGTGGCCACGCGGGTGGGGGCGCGAGCAGCGGTAGCTGGATCTCAGCTTCAGGCCGGTGCAGCCGGGTCCTGGGCACGGAGACTCTCCCGTCAGCCCGTCCTGTGCCGCGCGGGCGGGGAGCGGGGCCCTGGCTGCAGGCCCCGTGCCCCTGGAGCTGAGCCCAGGCCCTGGCAGGTGACGGTGGAGGACTTCGAGGTGGTGTGCCAGGGCCTGTACCGCGCGCTCTGCATCCGGGAGAAGTACATGCGGCGCTCGCTCCAGCGCTTCCCGTGCACGCCGGCCCAGTACCTGCGCGCCATCGAGGATGAGGTCTGGACCGCTGACCAGAGCTGTGGCCCAGGTAGGCCCCCAGCCTTGTGTGCAGGGCACTGGGGTGGGGCAGGAGGCGCGTGCAGGGAGCTCCAGCCCGGCCCGGGCAGGCGGGCAGCGCCAGGCACAGTCTCTTCCAGAGCAGGCGGCTCCTGTCTCCCAGGGTCCCGGAGGAGCCGCTGCCCAGACCGATGGAGCCAGCAGAGGCTCCGGGGGGCCC